TCCCAAGCCAGCTCTTAACTAATGCGCCACTCGGCCAGCTCAGCCTTCCAATTTTTAAAATTATGAAGTTTTCCCACTCTCTGCCTAAACCAAGTGATGGTAACTGTAGCCTTTGCTGGAACCAGCTTTGAATAAATAAATTTTGCTTTTTACATTTGGTTTATTTCCACAGGATCTTAGGCCATGAGGGGGAAATGAAAAGGAGAGTAAGGAAACTTACCTCAAGTAAAACCAGGTGACCCAGGCTGACTCGACTGCAAACTTCTCAGCTTTGCACGATGGGAGCAATGTCTCAAACATTGTTCTTTCTCAGAGAGCACACGATTTGTCCAGCAAGATGTTTCTCTTTGACCTAGTCAGTAGAGCGCGATAGTTAAGCTCACCGTGGGAGAGCTCTCCCAACTGAGTCTGAGTTTAAAGACAGACTACATAATTTCTGTAGCCCAGTGCAAAATAAAATTCAGTCCTTTTGTTTATGAATCATGAAGAATTTTAAGCAAGTAAGAGCAGAGCTTTAAGCCAAGGTGCGGGTCCCTAATTTCCTGTGTGCACCGCACAGTTTGCATGCCCTGGACCATGGGCTCTGAGCACCCGGAGTAGAGAGTCTGCAATCTGGTGACGCTGGGAGCAAGATGCCTCTCTCACTCAGATATCACTCAGTCTCTGCTGTGGTCTTTGCAAACCTAGGAACATAATTTTACCTGAATTAACAACTTAGAAAATGTGCTATGGTCTGAATGTTTGTGTCTCCCCAAAATTCATATGTTGAAGTTCTAATGCCCAATGTGATAGCGTTAAGAGCTAGGGCCTTTGGGAGGTGGTTAGGTTGTGAAGGTGGAGCCCTTATGGATGGGATCAGTGCTTTTATCAGAGACCTCACATAGCTCCCTAGCCCCTCTGCCACCAGGTGAGCACACAGGGAGAAGTCACAGACTGCAGCCAGGAAGACAGTCCTCACCACATCATGCTGGTGCCTTGATCATGGACTTCAAGCCTCCAGAACTATGAGAAATAAATTTCCGTTGTTAAGAGTCACCTAGTCTGTGGTATTTGTTGTAGCAGCCTGAATAGACTGAGACAGGATAGAAATTGGTTCCTTTTCTGTAGATGTGAACAAGGCTAGTGCCGTGCTTTCTGAGTCCCAGTGTCTCTTTGACCTTCTCAAAAGTGAAAAATCAGAGCCTTGGGGTTTAACTAATCAACCTGAAGGCCCTGCAGGCAGCCCTGAGAAGCAGTCCAGGCAGGGACTGCTCAAACAACCCTGGACCTTACTTTACAGGCATCCCAGACCCCTTGCTTAAGATGAAACTGAATAAGAAATTAAGAGTGATGCATTTTCACTTTGATGCCTTCGGACTTTGAACTCACAAGGAAAAAAGAATTTGAGTTTGAACTTTGTAACTTGAATCGCAAGGTGATTTCATTCATTCTCCCTGGGAATTTGTTAACTTATATTTAAAATATAAACCATCTCTGATTTTGGAATTTTATTATTGGAATATCTTTGACCATATACTATTATTGGAAAATCACTGTTGTTATTTATTCACATTCCAGAAATTTTGACATCCTAATTAGAGACAGGACATAAAATCAAGAGTGAATTTCTAGTCGTGTTACAGGATACTCATAAATTTAATTACTTAACTCTGCTGATGCTTCTAGAGCATAAAATTGTAGGTCAAGAAGGAGAAACAATGAGCAAGAGTTGGGGATGAGCTTCATGAAGATGGGGAACTGCCCTGTAGAGCTTCTGATAGTCCTGCCTTAATGGGCATAGAGGTAGGATTAATGTTACCTCTCGCTGTGTTATAGTAGTGATCCTCAGAGTGTGCTCCAGGCCAACAGCAGCAGCATACCCAGAAACCTGTTAGAAATGCAGACCCTGCACCCCCCAATCCCCTTGCAAAAAAAAAAAAATGCAGATTCCCAGATCTCACCCCAGACCATTCAATCAGATAGACACTCTGGGTGGGCCCAACTGGCAGTATTTTCACAAACCTGCCCATGGACACAGATGCAGTTAAAGTTTGAGAACCCTTGTGTTAGAGAATTAAAATATAGGGGAAATTTGGACACGTACATGCTCTGCCAACCCTGGTGTCACCCTGCACGTGGAGAGAGCATCACAACCAGGGTGACAAACCTCTCCTGGTTTGCCCAGGCTGTCCTGGTTTTCGAACTCAAGTTCTGTATCCTGAGGAACCTCATACCCAGGGGAACTGGGAGGTGGTTCACCCCCATCCACGTGGATAAAACTCCAGGCCTCTCTCCATGTCCTCAATCACTTTCCTCATGTGATATATCTGACTTGGTGCCTTGAAAAGTGAGACAGCTCATGTACAGCCAAATCTCCCTGCTCCTGCCTTCCCAGAGTCATCTGCCCCAGGCTCTCTGGTCCTCCTGCCAAAATGATTCAGGGAGGCCCCACATGGAGAGGCCTGTGATGGTCACAGGACTGGCGGGCAGATGGGCATCTCAGAACTTCCTGTGTTCATGTACTTTCTCTAACATTGGCTTTGTCTGTAATGAATGCCATAAAGTTTTGATCTCTATCTGCTGACTCTCAGGGGATACAAGTGCTATTTTTTGGGTCCTACCTAATCCTGTCAAAACTCAGAAAAATCTAAATAGTCACTGATGATATATATATATATATATAATATATATATATAAATAATATATATAATATAATATATATTATATATATAATATATATTGTGGGAGTGTAAAATTAAGAACTATAACTTAGGTAAGTATAACAACTAACATGAGAGGGGTGTTTGGAGTTAAAATACTTTAAATCCATGCTGAAGTTGGTCTATATTATCCTGATGTGATTAATTGTCTTGCTGAGGCCACAGGATCAAAACACATCCCAATGGTAGGAGTGGCATTCCCCGAGGAACTGAATAGTCCTACAGTCAAACATCCTAATAAGACAACTGAGAATCAAAACATAATGACACAAAAATATGTTTTAGACTAAGGCAGGAGGAGTGGGGGATGGAGGGAGGAAGGGAGGGAGAGAGGGAAAGAAGGAAGGAGGGTTGGGAGAGATGGTGCTATAGATTGAATATTTGTGTTCCCCCAAAATTCATATGTTGAAATCGAACCCTTAGGGTTATCGTATTAGGGGGTGGGGCCTTGGGAGTTGATCAGGTCATGAGGGTGGAGCCCTCATGAGTGGGATTAGGCCCTGATGAAAGAGACCCCAGAGAGCTCCTTCTCCCCTTGCACCAGGTGATGACACAGGGAGAGGACAGCCGTCTATGAACCAGGAAGCAGGCTCTCATCACAACTCGACCACGCTGGCACCTGACCTTGGATTTTCAGCCTCCAGAACTGTGAGAAATAAATTTGTTGTTAAAAGCTCCAGTCTATGGTATTTTGTTATAGTTGCCCAAATGGACCAAGATAGATGGATAAATGGATAGATGGAGGAAAAGATGAATTAATCAATTTTATCTTCTCAATTTGTATAAAAAAATAATGTTGTTTCTGGCATTATAATTTATTCTTCTTGGTATTCCTCTGAAGAATCAACACATTGGCTAACATGCTATAACTTCTCAATAAATGTGTGAGTTGATTTATTAAGGGAAGAGAACACTTTCTTCTTGCTCAGAAACCATTACTCTTTCATCTAATGAGAAACTTTGCTCTCAAATGAGTATTATTGTTGTGGTTATTGCTCCTTGTCTTTCAATATGTGCAGCTATGTTTTTACATCTTATGTTCTACCTACAATGCAATTCTCAACTTTCTGATTGTTTTGTTATTTTAATGTCCTCCTATCAAAGTTACCATGATGAAGCATCTTTTATTTTCTCTGAGAGATTAAAATATATTATTTTCACTTCCTAAAGAAACACAAGCCAAGGAATCTGTATACTATTTAAAATCTCAAATGTTTACCATGTACCTATCATATATGAAGACACCATGCCAGGTTGGGTGAGAAATGCAGGATAAATAAGATCTCATCCACATAGTCCAGGAATTTTTAAAAACTGAGTACATGATATAATGTTAAAGGAATTTAAAAGAGATGAAAGTACACTGTGTTGTTATTAAAGGAAATAGTAACAGGCATTTTTGGTTGCCTTAGCTATTTGAGAGCCTCCCTGGAATTCCCTCAGGTTCTTGGGATAGAGAGAGCGACATGAGGGGCTGGTGCTCTCTGTGGGTACAGGGGACACTCACCTCAGCACTGTCAAGATTTGGTTTTTAATGTGCTATTATTTCTCCATCTCTATTCAAGGTGAATGGAGCCTGGGACGGTGAGCTACCTACCACAGGCAACTGAGAGTCAACAGACGGAGCTTTCTTAACATGGAAGTGACATGATTCATTTGCATTTTTATTATATATAAAGCTGTCAGCTGAACCTAAGCACAAAGAAGGAAGAAATAAGTCAGTTGAGGAATTGGTAATAATCTAGAACCTTTAGTCTTGTTAACCTAAAAAATTTTTAAAAGGCCATTCAAAATGAAAGGCAACAAGCATTTATTTGACCTCAATAAAAATGGCTATTTGGGAAGCATTGATTCAGGCAGAAACCCAAATAATGGTCTGATTAAGAGACAAAGGCCATGGGTATTTATGAGAAAGGGAAGGGGAATAATTACATCAGTAGAAGGAAGACATTTCTATTGGTGCAGGTAACGTAACAGAGTGATGTTAATTCTAAACAATGCTTTGAGTTTTTGGCTTGGTAGCCATCAATCCAGCAGTCATAATATCTGTTTTCTTGTTATCTTTGCAAACAGTTTTTTGGTACACAGGTTGCTTTAGGCCCAATCCAAAGGTCATTTTACCCTGTTTTTAACATTCCAAGGTTTGAGACCTAAGACATACAAGGTGGTTTTTCTGGCATGACAGCTCCGCCTCCATTTTAAAGTGGCTCCCTTTATTATTTTCTACAGTCTAACTTGAATTGGGATCCATAAGTAAGAGAGCGTTGAAGGTTCCTAGGCAAGAGGAGTCCGCATGAGCAGAAGGATGGGATACGGGAAAATAGGAATATTCTCTGGTAACAAGAGTAGCCTAGAATACTGGGGGGAGCAAGAGAGCGGCTGAAAGAAGATCGATGAAACAGGTCATGAAACGCTCTAATGAATTTTGAAGCATCACGCAGAATTGAAATTTTAAGGTTCAAGTTAACCATTTTTTAAAATTTCGCATTATTTTAAATATGTATACATTTTATATATTTAAGCTCATGGCTTTTGCATACAGATACTCCAAACAGTCACAAAGGCTTAACCCAAGCACAGTCTTATAAAAGAGCTGTGAATTTCATTAAGTACTGGAAGGTAGGAAAATAATGGTGTCAGAAAACAGCATAGTCATATACAGCCCATCCAGAAGGCACTATTTATGCTTTTATTTTTTTTAACTTAACAACATCATTCATAATAAATGCCTTGAGGTATAAATACAACATAAAAAATCTTCGCCAAGACACAAACAGCTCTAAAACCTGCTAGTGGTGTTATCAAATTGTGATTTAGTGTTTCCAGAAGTTATATGTGCATCAGGAAAGATTTCAAGTCAGCTTAGACAGAGCATGGCATCATCTCTGAAACAAGGGACACACACATGACCCTTACCCTCAAAAGTGACTGCAAGGTTTTCCTTTGCTTTGGGATCTATAGGCACCTTTGGCTGGTGAATTCAA